TTTATGTAATTGCAAATGTAGTTTCAAAATCTTAATAAAGCACTAGCGTGACTGCTTAAGTTAAAAAAAAAAAAAAATATATATATATATATATATTTATTATAATGATATTATATAATTTTTATGTACTACTATAGTTATTTTTAGTTATGCTTAGGGAAACACTTGTAAGAAGACTTCTGAATGCTAAATGACCATAGAGAGTTTGATAAATGAACATATAGACTACACAATAATATTTGTTTTATTTTTAGTTATTTTTATTTATTTTATTTTTCATTAAATAAAAGATCTTTTACTCAGCATTCATGCATTTAAAATTATTATAGCTTGCTAATTTTTAGTAAATCTTATTATAATACTAATAAACTGCTTTGCAACAGTAACAATAAAAGAAATAAAAACAATAATTTGATTTTTTATAATAATAACAATATTTTGATAAAATTAATGTATTGATTTTTTTTAATAAAATTTTGTATTAATTCTATTTCAAAAACTTATAAAACTTTAATATATTATTAAACATTAACTGAATTATTAATAAAAATAATGTATTGATTCCTTAGCATATAAATAATTGTTGAAAAAAAAGATAAAAGATAAATCTTTAAAAAAGAATTTAATAATTGCAACTAAAAATATTAATTTTTAAATTTTTGACCGGAATTTTCTGATCGTAATGCCAGCAACTCCATATAATTTAGGCCAAATCGCATAATTTCACGGAATCCACGTATCGGTATAATATTTTTCACAGGGAAATGCTTTCACATGATCAAAATGCAAAGAACTAATGCACTAACCAAAAAAAAGTAACTAATTTACATCTAAAAAGATTTCACTAAATTTTTTTGATTTCTATAACTTTCTAGAATGACTGGTACGCATGTATTTTACAGAATTAAATTTATCCGATTTTTTCGTTATTAATGGTTATTAATCTGAATTATTTTATCGGGTGGATTTCATGTGAAATATCGGTTAGATTATAAAGAAGAACAAGAACAAGAACTAGAAGTGTTGAAATCGATTTATCCGGATGAATTGGAAGGTATCTAATTGTATGAATTAAAATTTTTATTTATTTATTTTTTTAAAAATTAATGTTATTCCTAAATTGAAGAATTAGTCCGTTTTTAAGCGCGGAACGATGTTGCTAAAGTGATATGAGGTTTAACTTTTTTTTATCCCAATTACAAACCTAAAACTGGGATATGAATTATCTAAAAAAGAATTAGGTGAAGGGGAATTTCGTATAACGCTAAATCCTGAAGAACAGGATAGTTCAGCACCGCGTAAGGTTTTTATATCATCTATTTTCATTGCACTAATTCATGATTCCCCTCACTTCTTAATTAATTTCTTAATAACTAATTATTTAATATTAGTTTTTGTGGCGTTGCGCATAAAATATACACCCACATATCCGGAAGAAATTCCTGAAATGTCGATAGAAGTTTTGGAGGGTTCGTTAGAAGAGAATGAACATGAAAAATTTTACACAGACTTAATGAATATGGTAATTAATAAAACTACAAGTTTTTATTTCGTTTATTCAGTTACTAATTTTCGAAAATTAAAAGGCTCGGGATTCAATAGGAATGGCAATGGTATTCACATTAATGTCATTTCTCAAAGATTCCTTAACTACTTTTACGGTAGAACGACAAGAACAAAGAAAAAAAGCCGAGGAAGATCGAATTAGAAAAGAAATTGAGGTATCTTATAATCTGCTTTAGAAATGTTATGTGGTCTGGTCTTAGACTAACGGACCACAGTTAGTCTTAAGAAGTCTGGACTAAAAAGTTCTAAGACTGTAGACCATAATAGACCAGACACAAAACTGGACCAAAATAGACCAGTCTGTCATCTGCTTCGTGTATTTTTTATTATCCTTGCTGACACATCTAACACGATTAAAAAATTGGTCACTGTAGGCGGAGCATGCAAAATTTCAAGGCACAAAAGTAACAGTCGCATCATTCTTAGAATGGAAAGAAAATTTTGAACGAGAAGTAGCAGAAAAAGAAAGGACTACGAAAAGTTTGGCTTTATTAAAAAAAGAAGAAATGAGAAAGAATAAACTCACTGGTACTTTTTATTTTTCTTCGCTTTTAACATTGCATTTTAGACACTAACTTTACAATTATAATATTTAGGTCGACAATTATTCGAACAAGACAAAGCGCTTGCTAAGTCTGATGCCACATTTATGGATGAAGACGATGTTGCGGTTGATATTTCTTTATTTGAAAGAGAGGTTGACGTGGAAAGTGAAGAGGAAGAAAATGATGTTCTTAGTTTAGTAAGGAGTAGTACTGATGAATAATAGTTTTGTTGAATAATTTGATTAGTTGTAGATATCAAGTATGAATAATTGAGATAGATAAAGTTTTACTTACTAGCTATATATTCAAAAATGTGAAAATTAAATTTAAAGAAGTTCAAGAGTTTTTATCACAGAAATAGGAGCTTTTTCATAGAAAATAATTTAGATCGATTATATTTAATACCTTTTACTCATATCTTGATCAAAAAAAATAAAATAATAATAAAATACTCATTGAGTCTACTTTATTATCCATCTCTATGACATATATATATACCTTTAACAATGTGAATCACGACTATTGAATAAACTATTGAATCCCTTTTAACCTTTTAACCTTTTAACCCTTTTCACGTTAACATATTTTTCAATTAACACTTTTTAATTCGTGTACACTAGGTGCAAAATGATTTGACAATGTGAAATTACTTCTCACCAAACGAACCTATCATTCGAACGATGACAACCTAATAATTAAATGTGAGAATTTATAAATTAGAGTGTTTAAATCTTTGATCTAAATTATAACTTACCTGTAATTTCCTTTCTTCAATAGTTCAACTCTTTTATCAGGCATAATCGGAATGTTATTACGTAATAAAGTTTACTAATATAATTCTTTGTAATATTTTATTAGTTTGCATAATGATTTTCTTTTTAATTAAACGTATTAATGTTTACTTTATTATACTTTTCGTAGCTATTACTACATTTTTTTGAGTTAATAATGGTTGTCTTTCTTTTTTAGCGTTAGTAAAAAGCTATATAAAGAATTGCTTATCGCTACTAACAGGAAGAATTTTCTATCCTTTAATAAAGAACTTTTTACTCTTCAATAAGTAAACCTTTCTACGCTATAAACCACTGTTTAACCTTTCACCCTTTAACAAGAAGGTCGATATAATAAAGTTACCTGCTTACGCTCACGATTTGTACTAAATCTGGCTGTAACATTTACTAAGCTCTCCCGGAATCATATCATTTTTGGTGCCGATTGTGTGAAGAAACAATCCGATTTAAATCTTCCATTTTGTTTTAAATTAATGAGGGTGAGTCAATAGAATTAAATAAATTTTTATAATCAAATTTTTTAAAGTTAATCAAATATAATAAAAATTTTTTTATTAAATTTAAGTTTTTATTGAATTAACATTAAAAAATTTTGCTTAGCTTCTATTGACACACTCAAAAGTTGGAATTCATCAACCATAAATTTCTCATGATTCTTTACAAAAACTTGTTCGCACGTGGAACTTAGCTGTGTAAAAATTTTTAAAGCCAAACAACGAAATAATAATGATAACATGTAAATAATGTAAATGGGTTATCTGCTTGTGGGTACTTTGATGCAATATATACAATTAACACGCTTTCCTCTTTAGCTAACTACGCCTCAGCCTACATTATAATGCAACAACTTTAGTATGCAAAGTTTATGAACTTCCGAAAAATTGTTCACGCCTACCTTCTTCATATAGTCTGTAACACTATTTTTCGGAGGCATTTTCTCTGATTCAGTCTTGTAATAGATTTATGATACTTAACCGAGTCGCTCTTTAAAATGTTTTTGTAAATGTAAGAGTAGGTTTTGTGAAATCAGCATCGTCAAGACCAAGAGTAACTACAAAATATTATCATTAGTTCAATGTTAAGCTATCACAAACAAACACGCACCTTCAAACATATATATATGGGTAATTATTTTTGAACCCAAACCAAAAACGTTATTATGTCATAATAAAATTGGTCCGGGTTCAAAAATAATTACCCATATATTAAGCATTATCAAAAGATTCAACGCCACTCCTTACTAGTTTAGTTTCAATAGGCGCATTATTTATTTGATGTTCGATTAATGCTAGTACAATGGTCATAATATTACGATAAACGTGCATAAACAGTTATCTTGCCAACAAGCATAAGCTACTCATCAAGAAATATATGCAATGAATTGATTTAAAAGAAATTTTTCTTATTTTTACACACGGTATATTTGTTGTGCATCAAATTTAAATCTGTGTCAGATTAAAATCGTTATGATTTAGCTAATACCAAACATAGACAACATAGACACCCACCTTAATAAAACTCCGAATTTAAATTTTGATTTGACGCAAATTTTAATTTGATGCACTACATATATGTGCACGTATACATACCCCACACTAAATTATCAGGATGATCATTCTTGATTAATAAAGTGGATTTCTATCGATTTCCCGATAACTCACTTGCCTGACAACACTTTTGGCAAATAAAATTCCGACAAAATTGACTGGAGCTAGCCCTAGCCTAATGCGGACCAATTTGTTGGTAAAGTAATAATGTCAGAAAATAGATATTGTCGGAAAAGTGATACTGTCGGAAAAAGATATTGTCGAAAATTGATATGTCGGGAAACTAATACCGTCGAGAAAAAAGTATTGCCGAGAAAAGGTTTTTTGGCAAACCAATACATGAGAATAGATTTGCATGCTAACTGTAATTAAATTAATGGGTAACCTTATACCTCGATTATTACTTATGTAAGAGCCAGGACCCGAAAGAGGCTTGGAGATAAATCCAGAATGTATGCGACATTTGCACAATACTTGTAAATGTAGTATTATTATTTATTGATAAATAATACTGTTACAATTGTATCCAAATCAAAGCTGAATTAATAAAACATTATAACTATGCATTTTTAACATACGTATATAGATCCATATAACATTTATAAATATGTTCGATGCCATTTTCAAGAAATTTCCAGATGGTTTTCAAGTCGTTGATGGTAAGGGTGGATACAAGTCTATAATCTATTGCAGAAGAAGAAATGCGCGTCTGAACTATATTTTTCATCTCAGATCAGTGGGTTTGATACATAATCACGATAGACAAAATCTCGAAATGTTAAAACCTTGAAATACTTAAAATCCTACTAACCCCAATATTTCACATTTTGGCATTTAAAATTTATAATGCTTCATTATCTGAATTTTGTACTTTCGGCATTTTGAACTGTCGGGATTTGTATTTTCGTTGGATTTTAGTATTTCAAGAGATTTGTCTGTCGGGATTATGTACATCGGGGAATTTGCACGACTCCCCTGAACAGTAATAATGCTGTAAAAAAAGGCTTACCTTGCAAGATATTTGTTCGAGTCACAGAAGAGACGCGTAGTTTTTGATTCCAAAAAAAGATAGTCTTTCCGGATCGAATACGTGTTCCGAAGTACGTACTCATAGTTACACCTAGTTTATCTATATATATCAATCACACCCCAAAAATTTGATATATCAGTATATCGGGATTATATTTAACATTTAGGGTTTGAACAGAATCGGTGGCAATGTATCAGTTAATTGCAAATAAAAGTCTTGCTGCATTAAACTAATTTTGAGGTAATTTAAGGTTAGATTAAGGTTAGAGGAGGATATAAAACAAGGCTTATACTAAAATTACTAGAGGAACCTTTTTTTGTTAGGGCAAGAAAAGTAGTTTCATAAGCAAAATTTTAATTTTGTCGATTATGATCGACAAATCAAGGCAGTAATTATCTTCCCCGCATCGCCAACAAATTCTTTAAATTCTATATTAAGGTGGTTATAATAGTAAAATCGTTCAAAGAAAACTTTTTGTTAAGGCGCAGAAGGCTTGAATTTTTCTGATCGCGTAACGTTACACTAAATTGTGATTCTATCATCACGTGAGCGTAAAAATTACATACATAGCGATAGTAATTCAGTAATTAGAGTCATTGTCAATTCCATTGACCAATCAAATTTCAATATCAGGAATACCGTAAGATAAACGTTTACGTATACAGTATTCCCAAAATATAGATTATAGAAAAATTTCTAAAGGCACGAAATTTTTACTAGAAATATTTTGTGTTGTAATTCTACATATGGGTGGTGCCAGTAGAAACCAAGCAAATTGTTTTTAGTGACAATTATTAAACCAAACTTGATAAATTTTTTATTTATTTTAAGGGTAGGGGTAACGTAGATCATTATATAGAAATGTATGGTATTTTAAAATTTTTGATATATGCTACTAATAAAACTTTATTTTTTAATTAATCAATAAAAAATTTTATATTATAAATAAAAATATTTATCTATTATAGTAAAATTTTGAAGTATTGTATTATTTTAAAAAAATATACTTGTATATATTACAAAGTTTTC